TTCAGATCTTGGTTTCGAAATATGTTTAAGCCCCTCTGAGGTATGTAGAACTGAAGGAGGCTTTCCAGCTACAAGTGTTGTGGGTGATAGTGACTAAATTTCCTCTCCCTTAACCCAGGTATCCGTGGAGGAAGGCAAAGACCATTTTAATTGATGGCCACAATTCGAGTTATCCAGAACTGCCATAGGCATACCTGTGGGCTGTGCCTGTCTATAAAAAGAAGGCAGTTGAGCTAATTAAACAACTCAAGTGGTATTGAATGTTTTAGCTTCTTGTATCTGGAAAATAGAAAAACCAAAACGGAACAGTGCATACAGAGAGCATAGGAGAGTTTTGTTTTTTACCTTTTTTCCGTTTTTTTTTTTTTTTTTTTTTTCGGCCTGGTTAAGGGACCCTCTGTTCATTTTGCCTACGTGGAAATTTCAAGGCAGTTTATGTTTCAGGTCATCCAGGTAGGTTTTTTCTTTTTTTTTTTTTTTTTTTTTTTTCGGCCTGGTTAAGGGACCCTCTGTTCATTTTGCCTACGTGGAAATTTCAAGGCAGTTTATGTTTCAGGTCATCCAGGTAGGTGACTTCATTTATTTATTTATTTATTTATTTATTTATTTATTTATTTATACAAATAGCAATAACATTCAAGCAATATTTAATAAATGTTTCAAACACACAAAAACATTATTTATACTGTTTTATCTTGACTTCAGAAATACTTATTGAAAGTGGTAGTTTGTTTATAGTAGACAAAAGGAATAAATAATGTGCAGTATTCTCTAGCTACTGGGGATAGGTGAGTCTTCATGATTTAAATAAAGTAGCGACATTTCTGAGTTTTATTATGTGTTGTGTTTTTAAGTTCTTATGCATGAAACTAATGTTGGTTTTAAGATATTCTAATTAAAGTTCTTTCATGTTTATTGTTTAAATGTGTTTCTTCTTACATTATGGAATTTACTAAGCAAACTGTATCAGTGACATTTCAAAAATTTATCTAGATTATAACATGTTAAAACTAGAGGAACATTTGAATACTTCATATGAATTTCTTTATAAAATGTGGGAAACCCTTTTTAAAATAATTTTCTTTTTTTTCCAATTTGCATTAGTTTTTGTTTTTCAGTAGTATCATTTTAACTCCCAAACTGCATTTTCACAGAGTATCTAATATTTTTTGCAAGTAACATTTTGAATTTGTTCTTCTTGACATATTTATGTTTATATGCATTTTGCATCTCCCTATTTCATGTTTTTGAAATCCAAATGTAACAGATTTCAACTTTTTGTATGACATTATTTTTTTTTCTTTTACTGGGGTATATCTCTCTTTCTTCTGACTTTTTTGCTTGTTGTTTTTGAATTGTCTTTTTTCCCTTTATTTTCCTTCTCAATATGACACCAGGAGCCAACACAAAGAAAAACGCTGATGATATAACCAGTAATGACCGTGGTGAAGATGAAGGTATTTTTTGTTTTTTTCAAAGCTCGACCTTGGTGCATGATTTTATATCTATCGTTCTTTTTTTTTTCTTTTTTTCATTTCAACCTGTTTTTCCTCCCTTATCTGAAGTGAGTACACTTTTGTGTGCTTTATTTTCTTCTTGTTTGGAAACCACTGTCATTTTTAATACCAATGACCATGTAGATGACTGCAAATCACCTGGGAGAACATGTATAAATGTTTCTCAGTATGAAGTGAGTAACAAAATGCCATTTACAAGGAGCCTCTTTTGCTTTTGCTTTTGCTTTTTTTTGGCTTGGTCACAAGAAGAGAAAATGAAATTTTAAAACATGCATGTATGCTTTCTTTTCTTCCTTCCGAATGTTATTTTATAATTTTGTATTTTGGAGCTTTGGTCTTCTTAATTTCTTCTGTGGACGGTGAGACACCTCAGTAGAACTTTTCAGGGGGCTGGCATTTCCGTTTTGTTTGTTTTTAGTGGGTTTTTTTTTTTTTTTTTTCAAACATACTGATTCCAAAATAGGGTTTTCAAAGAATCTTCTCTGGCTCACAGTAAAATACATGAAAAAGTGTCTTAAAGAGAAGTTGTTTCTTTCAGAACTGCCTTTTAGCCACTTTAAAGGAAAAAAAAGGGGGGGATGGAATTGAAATTTGTCAGAAAGTTAGATCTATGCATCTTTGTCTTCACACCACAGCTGCTTTAAGAACATTTTTCCCCACAAAATGTTTAGCTGCTGTGGAGAGTTTCTTCTTGAAGGATCTCAAATTGTTTGACAGATTATACACTAGAAGTAAAGTGATTTTTTTTTAAGTTGGAAGCTAATGTGACATCTAAACCATCATTAGCACGTTGTATCCTCTTACTTCAGCAGAATAAATGGTTTAGAAGGGAAGAAAAAATAAATGTTTAAAGTCAGCCTTTGCTGGCTCTAAGGCTGTGTAGGCTGGGTGAAAACTTGTTTTTCCCATCTGAGTAGCAAAATGTGTGGATCTCCGTTTATTTACCTTAAAACGTTGAAGGCCCTCGATGGACCTTTGGTTCTCTGGCTGAAAGGCAGTTTAAAGTGCAGTGGGGAGCTATCCTTGCTGGGAAGCAAAACCGCCCTCAAAGTCCCTTTTCGTCACTTACTTGGTTTTCCTGCCCTCTTTGATTTTTTTCATGAATCAGTCGCTCTACGAGAAAAGAAGTTGTGCCCATGTTGCTTTCTTGTGCCCGCTGTTCTCTCAACACTACTGTTAGTTAATTTTTTTTTTTAACCTGCAGGGTTAAAAAAAAAGCAGGGTTCTCCCTGCTTCTAATAACCCTCTAAGAAAGTTCTTCTGATGGCCTTGGAGTATCATACCTGCCCCTGAATCAGCAGCTAGCCTCTCCTTTATGAGGCCTCAGAACGCCCATAGTTTTATCCATATCCCTATATAGCCAACTATGGGTGTTAATTTGCACCTTGCTTTGTTCTGGCTTTTCAGTGTATTATTCCCTTTTGACTGTTAATATCTGTTTTCCCAGTGCTCACCAGTCACCTTTATTACTGTTAACATGCCGTCTAGTTTTCCTTTAATACCAAGAAACTGTGATCATTTTTTAAACTTTGAATGAATCTGGCATCTGGTTATTTCTTCCTCAGCCTCATGAGAACCCTGTTCTTTGTGTCTCGGAGGTAAGAGCTGTTAACCTACCCTCAAGATCTCAACCTCTTCCTTTCCCACAGTGGAGTAGCGCGTGCCACCTACTGCAGAATAATGGTAACATAAATAAGGGCTAACACAGCAAATCAGAGTCCAGAGAGAGGGCTGGATAGTGTAAAACGCCAGACCCCTGTAGGGACGGTGACTTATTTAAAAATTCCACATAGCATATGATGAGTGAAGGATTAAAAAATGATTTTTACTTCCTATGTAAGTTTTTTTTTTTTTTTTTTTTTGCCGTACGCGGGCCTCTCACTGTTGTGGCCTCTCCCGTTGCGGAGCACAGGCTCCGGACGCGCAGGCTCAGCGTCCACGGCTCACGGGCCCAGCCGCTCCGCGGCGTGTGGGATCCTCCCGGACCGGGGCACGAACCCATGTCCCCTGCATCGGCAGGCGGACTCTCAACCGCTGCGCCACCAGGGAAGGCCCCCTATTTAAGTTTTACAGGAGAAAATAGTGTTCTGCGGCAGATTAAATATCTGCAGACACAGGGGCAGCTTGGCACTTTTTTCTGCACTTGACTGTGACACTGGGTTTCTTTAGCCTTCTGGATGCCATATGGTGGCACCCAGGAGCCTGTCTTGAGATCATGATCGTAATTCATTTTACACGCAGCCACCATCCAAACGGGGGGTTTGTTTCCTTAAAATTCCTTTCTGGTAGTTCAAAAGTGTCTCCATGAATTAGGGAAAATAAGTTTTTATTTAAGAAAAAATGAAAATAAATGTCCATGGATACATTTGGTTTTCTTCTGATGTACAGATATTTAAATGACACACACATATATATGTATATACACATACATAAATATCCAGAAATCATTAGAATCAAGGTCAGGATTCTTCAGCATTAAAGGTAAGCCCAAGGAATGCTTTCCACTGAACAAGTTGTTTAATCACAACTTTTCAGAAAGTAGGCTCTACAAATGGACCTATGGTCTCCAAACTTCTGTTGTCACAGAACATTGCAAAATAGGATTTTCACGTCATTGTTAAATAAAATAATAATGACTCTGGGTACTCTGGTTGCAAAGCACAATGGGAGTTTATATTCCCCATAAAAATATGTAGCATTGCCAAACTTTCTTCTTGAGGTTGAAATCTTGTGCCATTTTTATTCCAGCTCTTCTCTCTCTCTCCCTCTCCTGCTCTCTCTCTCTCTCCCTCTCCTGCTCGCTCTCGCTCTCTCTCTCTCTCTCCCTCTCTCTCTCTCTCTTTCTTTTTTTTGCACTTAAGTTGGGATATTACTGCAATCAGTAAATTCGAGAAAAAACACTTGCTTGGACATTTTGTTTTGTTTTTACACATTTCTGTCCTGTTGATCATTTTTAACCATTTATTTGCTTTTTGTCGCCATGTGCCCTGTATTGAGAGCTTACAGTTTCATTACTAGTTTTATGTTCTCGTTGTTAAGTTGAAAATGAATCTGTAAGCTCATCTTTGACTGAAGATAGAAGTTACAGTAAAAATAAATTATAATTTTGACGTTGATTTCACACTTACTTAGATAATAAAAATATATTTTGTAATAGATGCCCTTCTAGGGTTTGGGCACTCTTTAGGGAAGATGTATTTCATCTCCATCCTTGCATATTTAGTGTTGTAGATACATGCAGAAACCTACACCTGCATACACATTCCTTCCAATGCCTGCATCATTTCTATGAGTAGAAAATATAACACCAGTGACCATTTTCCTTAGGCCATCTTACCAAGAACATACCTAATTTAAAAAGGGGCCATGCGATTGATTCCAATCTAAACTAGGAAAAGTCACCCACGTCCTTTGCCCTTGACTTAGCATCGCTTAATCAGCATGATGTTTTATTGTGTTTCCTTACTTGGCTTTTTTTTCCAGACATCCATGATCAGAACAGTAAGAAGCCAGTAATGGTGTACATCCACGGCGGGTCTTACATGGAGGGCACAGGCAACATGATTGACGGCAGTATTCTAGCGAGCTACGGCAATGTCATCGTGATCACAGTTAACTACCGCCTGGGGATTCTAGGTGAGTGATTCCGTCTTGCTGATCACCGCACAGGAGGCCATGAGGAAGTTCTGCTTTTGGTTTGGGACCCGTTGATTCCAACTGTGTTACTCTAATTCCTAGAAATCTCTACCACACAGAGCTCACTTCATGCTGCAAGATATATTTGTCCCTTAACGTTCATGCAGCGCTGTCTGCTTTTTTTTGTTTGTTGTTGTTTTTTTAAAGTTTGCACTTTTTAATCCAGGAATTTCATTTCCTAGGATCCGCCTCAAACAAATGCAGCCTCCAAGGTGATCAAATGAACATGATACTTTATTGAAAGCACTTTTCTTTCTGTGGGCTTAGCCGACATGACCCTGTGGAATGAACACAGTTTGGAGACGTGTCTGATAACGCATTTGGTAATAGGTGATAACTTGGTAATGGTAGATAATGGCCATAGACATTAGCTTTCTTTTGTGGTTTTGTAGAATCAGTGAATCGTTTGTCGGAAAATGTTTTACTTAATTCCTTAATGCGTTGTCTGTTGTATCTTGAAGAGTTGCATGGCTGTTGCATTTACATGAGATGGAATACTCCTATTTGAATTTTGTAATTTGATTGTTTTTTCATTTTATGTAAATTTTATGATTTATGATGAAAGGACATTGGCCAACTGCATAGGAATTCAAGAGCAGCTCTCCGTTGTTTCGGTGTTAAATTCGTTTTTCCCTAACTGGGGGTTGGAAAAATAAATAACATATTTTGAAGCTTACCTTCTTCTGTGGTTTAGCCTGCTCTTGCTCAGTTCATGAATAATATTCCTAGCCTACGTAAGAACGTTCGTTTTCAAGGCAAAAGATGCATTGAGAGGATGCAGAAAATGGTTTACAGCAGGGTGGCTATGAGAATGAGATCTGTATGTCACAGGATGGTTATGGTAAAAGATATGAAAAATAAAATGGACCAACGGACCTGTTTCAAATAGGACACAGGGTTGAAATGTTTTCTCCAAAGAGGCAAGTATCACTAAGAATATTTTATTTTCAACTTGAGGTTTTAATTTTGTTTTGAGCATTTTATTTCATTCACTCCTGAAAACATTCACCTATAGAAGACCCCGGAGTAAGGAGATGAGTTGTGGATGACCTTCTAATTTAGAGACGCACATCACCCCAGATGTTTGCAAAGTTGGGCATTTTGGAGCATCGATAAAGTACTGGAAATTTCAGGTTTTTAGGATGAAACACAACAAAAAGCCTCAGAGTCTAAAGCCTTCTTGTCTTGCGGTTTTTATTTCCTTTTCTTTTCTCGTCGGTGCTAGGAGCCAGATCTTTGTGGAATGATTTCCGTTCGTGTTGCACAGCAAGGGTGGCATGCCTCTCTGAATGTTTTTCAGAAGCCCCTGGCTAGTTGATTTGGCTACTGGTGTTTGAAACCGGAAATGTTGTTTCTTGATGTTTTACAAAAGGTCCATTCTAAGGAAGAGGTGGGCAAAGGAAGCCACGGACCAGGGCTTGCTGCTAGCAGCCCTTTCAAAGAGGGCGGTGTGGGCGTCCCTCGTAGCATCACCAGCTCTGGACGTTGCTTTCTGAACAAAGCAATGGGCTTTGGGTGAGTCCTTGCTTCAGTGGAATAACAAAGCGTCCTCCTGCCTGCACAACATGGTGGTGATGTGACTTAAAAGGTTAGATTTCAAAAGAAATCGATTTTCTCCCCCGTTTAACGCCAAACTGGTATTAAGCAGCTTAACACAGTGATCTCTTATCTATTTGGCCCATTTGTGAATCTAGAAAAGTACTGTGGGAATTATACACACCTTCATTTTTTTTTTTTTTTTAAGAAAAGAAGGAAAAAAATAGCTTGTTTTTAGAACTTTTCTCATTGAACAATTGTAATTTTACCTTTTGCTGCTAAGAGTTAAAAAGAAAAAATCTTGGTAAGATAACAGAGGGCTGTGAGAGTTGTGGCATGGCAATAAAAGAAGCAGTCTAGCATCTCCAAGCCAGTCTATTTACATTCCACGAATGAGTTGTTGTGCAGCTCAGCACCACAGACCCCCTTTTATCTGATGGAGTGCAGTGTGCCAACTTTGCTGATTATACAGAGCGATAGAGATTTTTAAAATGGGACTTGGTTTATTGTTATCAGGGATCTTGCATGGGCTGCCATCCTCTGGAAAACTATGTGGGGGCCATTTACTTTTTGCTTTGCAGGAAATCACTAGTACCACTCATTAGCACTCTGATAGGAATAGATGTTTTTACCAAAATGTTGAAATACTGTTTGAGGGTTTTTTTCAAAAGTAAGAAATGCATAAATGCTGTTTTTCTGCCCAAGGAATGGAAAAGCATTGTTTGAGATGATTCCCGTTCTTTTACAGAGTAACAAATGCTGTTTTCCTACCCAAAAGAAAGGTTTAGGAAGATGGATGATGGTCAGAGGGAAGCAGGAGGCTGGCTTGGAAAGAACATAGATTTTTATAATGAGATAAGAATGAACTACGTGGTGTCTGTGGTGTGACATTGAGAAGGTCAGCTGATTTTTTCAGAGTCTCTCTAAAAGGTGGTCCCATTCTCTCTCTGGCAAGGTTATTGTACATACCATATAAACATCCTATGGGTTTATGTTTGTGAAGTTTCATAGCCCAGCAGTAGGAACCAGTAAACCCAGACAGGTGAACATTTCCAGTGTTATTAATAGCCTTGGACATCTTATTAACATGACTGTTGATCCACTGGAAGAAATTGCGACTGGCCAAAACGGTAATATCTGTCAAATACTGACTTCTAAACGGAACCACCTTAATTAAACAAAAGCGGTGATAAGACGCTCGTAATAAGACACAGATGACAGGATCTTCGCAATAAGACACAGATGACAGGATCTTCGCACGTGTTTTTTGAATAATGAATATTTTCTTTAATCAGAACCGCGTCACACAACCTTGCTAGCCATTGAGCATGTAATTTATTATCTAATCCAGGACACTTTGAAAATTGTTAATAATGCTCTTAATAAACTGGGATTATTCCAGGCAAACTGGGATGCACCGTCACAGCTGTAAAGTAATTATTCATACCCACACAAGGTCTAATGAACAAACTGGTGGTCCATTTATTTTCAAAGGAGATCTCTTTTTAAAGCATATTTCCTGTTTGTTCTGCTGTACACCTTTGTCGTTAGGAGAGCATACATGGCTAACATTTGAGTTCTGTCACATCTGCCTCTATTTTTTCCGTGATGATTGTTCAAAGACCATTGCTGTGTAAGAGGAATCTCGTCCCTGAGGCTTATTGATGGAAATGCCTGGGATTTATTTATGGGTGGCTCTTACCTTTGCCCTCCTTCATTAATCATCTCTAATTTGCATCTTCAGTTGGTTAATTAGACCTGCATTCAAATGCTGATTTTAGTTTAGCTGAGAGGGTATTACCTTTTTGGTTATCCTATGGTTTGATGCCTCACGCAGGCTTTAAACTATTTTGCTTTGAAACAATCTTAGCTCTGTGCCTCAGCAGG